GAGACAATCGGAATGATAGCCGACAGAGTGTATCGTGATCCAGCCTGTACTCCTCTTGACATACCAGAAAATATTCTGAGGAAACTACTCCAAGCTTGTACTAAAGAGGCACCCTTCTTGAGCCCGGATGGGCACATGTATAAGCAAGTAGATGGGGTCGCCATGGGTTCTCCCCTAGGTGTCCTGTTTGCAAACTTCTACATGGGTACCATCGAGCAAAAAGTCTTAGTCGACATGAACTTGAAACCGGCCATATACTGCAGGTATGTTGACGACATTTTTACACAGGTACCTGATGTCAGACATCTGCAGGAGCTGAAGGAGGCATTTGAGCAGAGTTCCGTGCTGCGTTTCACTTACGAGATGGAAAAGGATGGGAAGCTGCCCTTTCTAGATGTAACAGTCATGGAAAAGGGCGGAGGTTTCCACACTGCAGTCTACACTAAGGAAACAAACATAGGAATGTGCCTAAATGCCAACAGCGACTGCCCAGACAGGTACAAGAGGAGTGTTGTTAACGCATATGTCGACCGTGCTCTCAGCCACAGCTCAGAATGGAAGCAAGTCGACGAAGAACTCTGTAGGGTAAGGCAGGTCCTAGTCAATAACGTCTTCTCCAATGGTTTCGTCGAAGACATCATAAGAAGGAAAGTGAAAAGCCATGCAACCTCTGAAGAGACAACTAACAAAACACCTATACCCCCTATTAGACTATTTTACAGGAACTTCTTTTCCACAGCTCATAAAACAGAGGAAAGGGTCCTGAAAGATATTGTTAATAGAAACGTTATCCCTACAGACAAAAATCAGAGAATACAACTGACGATTTACTATAAAACCAGAAAAACGGCCAGCCTACTCATGAGAAACTCTCCAGACACAAAACAGAACGCTTTAAAAGAGACTAACGTCGTCTATGCCTTCAAATGCCCTCTTGGGGACTGTAAGCTCCAAAAAACCCAGTATATAGGCAAGACAACAACATCTCTTTCTAGGCGTTTAACGATGCATAAGCAACAGGGCTCCATTAAGGAACATATAATCTCTTCCCACAACCAAACCATCGCCAGAGAAATCCTAGTAAACAACACAGAAATCATCGATAGATACAGCGATAGCAGGCGGCTTGACGTTTGCGAGGCACTACACATCAAGAAGTCAACACCAGCAATCAACAGCCAATTATTGCACAACTATATTCTACCCTCCTCAAGACTCCGCTCCAATATAGAAGCATCAAGAAATATGGACCATTAGGCTTTCTACAAACACTTCTATTCAATATCCATTGTTTCGTGTTCTGTCTTGTGTTGATGAAATTAATATCCTATTAATACTCTTGTTCTGTCTTGTGTTGATGAAATTAATACCCTATTAATACCACATCTTGTTCTGTCTTGTGTTAATGCCACATCACCCCTTCTACCTCACTCAAATGTAGATATAAAATCGGAGATGCGTAAGTTCTATTCAGTTGTGTATTTGTGAACTAAAGTCTTTGAAAATGTAATAAGTTTTACGAAACGCGCTCGTGTCGCGTCAGACTAGAAATAAAAATGAATTTTGGAGAATTGATTTTTGATTTACCTCCAACAGTGAAACGAAATGTACGAAAGATTGAGAAAATTCGTGTTAGAATTATTAATCTTACTTTTTCGGTCATATTTAATAATATATATATATATATATATATATATATATATATATATATATATATATATATATATATATATATATATATATATATATATATATATATATATATATATATATATGACAATGTCAGACCACGGAGGAAAAATGAAACAGGAATTTCCTTAAGTACTTTCGTATATTAATACATCTTCAGAAGGAGTTCAGAACGTGAACACGTTCATCTTCAGAACGTGTTTATTTTCGTGATATACACACACACACACACACACACACACACACACACACACATACATATATATATATATATATATATATATATATATATATATATATATATATATATATATATATATATATATATATATATATATATACATATATATATATGTTGTACCTAGTAGCCAGAACGCACTTCTCAGCCTACTATGCAAGGCCCGATTTGCCTAATAAGCCAAGTTTTCATGAATTAATTGTTTTTCGACCACCTAACCTACCTAACCTAACCTAACCTAACTTTTTCGGCCACCTAACCTAACCTAACCTAACTTTTTCGGCCACCTAACCTAACCTATGAAGATAGGTTAGGTTAGGTTAGGTAGGGTTGGTTAGGTTCGGTCATATAACTATGTTAATTTTAACTCCAATAAAAAGAAATTGACCTCATACATAATGAAATGGGTAGCTTTATCATTTCATAAGAAAAAATTTAGAGAAAATATATTAATTCAGGAAAACTTGGCTTATTAGGCAAATCGGGCCTTGCATAGTAGGCTGAGAAGTGCGTTCTGGCTACTAGGTACGACATATATATATATATACATATATATATATATATATATATATATATATATATATATATATATATATATATATATATATTAAGGTCTTAACTACTAACAAACAATAATCTTGAGGGCTGACGGACATTCACTCCATCTACTAACACAACTTGGCCATCTTGGGGTCCGTCGCCCCAACACCAGCAGCTGGCTGGCTGCCACAGACAGTACACGGCCTGCCATCACCAGGCCCTTCGTGTTCCCTCTGAAAAAGCATTTGGTTCTTGAAGACTGCCATTGTCGTCCAGCCGTCCAGCGCGCCTCTCACGTCACCTCTGAGGAAAGTAAATCATATAGCAGGAAGGAAACTACAGCTGTGGTCAGAGAGACCACAGCCTTCCAAAGGGGAACAGAAAATATGGTCAGGTGCGCTCAACAGATGGCGTTAATATCGTCTCAATATTTTAGTAGGATATTTTACAAGGATGATTTAGAAGGGTATTTTCCAAGTATGTTTTACCCAGTATATTTAACGAGGATGTTTAATGGCATATTTTATAAGAATGTTTTACGAGGATATTTTATAAGAATGTTTTACGAGGATATTTTAGCGAAGTTTAATCAGGATCTTTTACAAGACTGTTTAATCAGGATATTTAACTAGCATGTTTCACTAGGTTATTTTACAAGAATGTATTACCAGGATGTTATGTGATTTCTGTTAATTTGTTATATTAATATAGAAGGAAAGGGATTTTCAAGTGGCTCTGTAGGGGAAAATTGATGATTTTATGCATGTAACAAAGTATATGTTGGGTTGACAGCCTCAAACGCGCGTCCTCGTCCCCTGCATAGTCACGTAATATTAAAAAAGTTAATTTTAACCAGTTTTATTGCTCAACGACTCAGATGGTCATTGCCTCAGTTCTTAAGCTGATCATTGTCTCAGCTAGTTAGTTCTTAAGCTGATCATTGTCTCAGCTAATTAGTTCTTAAGCTGATCACTGCCTCAGCTAGTTAGTTCTTAAGCTGATCATTGTCTCAGCTAGTTAGTTCTTAAGCTGATCATTGTCTCAGCTAGTTAGTTCTTAAGCTGATCATTGCCTCAGCTAATTAGTTCTTAAGCTGATCATTGTCTCAGCTAGTTAGTTCTTAAGCTGATCATTGCCTCAGCTAATTAGTTCTTAAGCTGATCATTGCCTCAGCTAGTTAGTTCTTAAGCTGATCATTGTCTCAGCTAGTTAGTTCTTAAGCTGATCATTGTCTCAGCTAGTTAGTTCTTAAGCTGATCATTGCCTCAGCTAGTTAGTTCTTAAGCTGATCATTGCCTCAGCTAATTAGTTCTTAAGCTGATCATTGCCTCAGCTAGTTAGTTCTAAAGCTGATCATTGCCTCAGCTAGTTCTTAAGCTGATCATTGTCTCAGCTAGTTAGTTCTTAAGCTGATCATTGCCTCAGCTAGTTAGTTCTTAAGCTGATCATTGCCTCAGCTAATTAGTTCTTAAGCTGATCATTGCCTCAGCTAGTTAGTTCTAAAGCTGATCATTTCCTCAGTTAGTTCTTAAGCTTATCATTGCCTCAGCTAGTTAGTTCTAAAGCTGATCATTGCCTCAGTTAGTTCTTAAGCTGATCATTGCCTCAGTTAGTTCTTAAGCTGATCATTGTCTCAGTTCTTAAGCTGATCATTGTCTCAGCTAGTTAGTTCTTAAGCTGATCATTGCCTCAGCTAGTTAGTTCTTAAGCTGATCATTGCCTCAGCTAGTTAGTTCTTAAGCTGATCATTGCCTCAGCTAGTTAGTTCTTAAGCTGATCATTGCCTCAGCTAGTTAGTTCCTAAGCTGATCATTGCCTCAGCTTGTTAGTTCTTAAGCTGATCATTGCCTCAGCTAGTTAGTTCCTAAGCTGATCATTGCCCCAGCTAGTTAGTTCTTAAGCTGATCATTGCCTCAGCTAGTTAGTTCTTAAGCTGATCATTGTCTCAGCTAGTTAGTTCTTAAGCTGATCATTGCCTCAGTTAGTTCTTAAGCTGATCATTGCCTCAGCTAGTTAGTTCCTAAGCTGATCATTGCCTCAGTTCTTAAGCTGATCATTGCCTCAGTTCCTAAGCTGATCATTGCCTCAGTTAGTTCCTAAGCTGATCATTGTCTCAGTTAGTTCTTAAGCTGATCATTGCCTCAGTTAGTTATTAAGCTGATCATTGCCTCAGCTAGTTCTTAAGCTGATCATTGTCTCAGCTAGTTCTTAAGCTGATCATTGCCTCAGCTAGATAGTTCCTAAGCTGGCCACCGCCTCATTGTAGAAGACATCATAACCTCCCACTCCCCTACCTTAAAGTCCCTCCTTCACAGGCTGTAGATAGACACGTTGAAGGATAAGACAGGTAAAGATGGGTTGAGTTACGACCCGTGATCCTCGCCCTCCTCCTCCCTCCTCGGAGGTCTCAACTTCGCCTCAACACCCGGAGTTTAAGAGGCAGTAAACTAGCCATTGTTCTCTGAAGGGCGTCTTTTGCCGTGTCTGTGGCTGCCGGGGGACCATCAGTGGGACCTCGGGTCTGGCCACAACATCACACAACTGTCTTAGCAGCAAAGTAAGGAACTGTATTAGGAACAAGGTAAGGAACTGTATTAGGAACAAGGTAAGGAACTGTATTAGCAGCAGGGTAAGGAACTGTATTAGCAGCAGGGTAAGGAACTGTATTTGCAGCATGGTAAGGAACTGTATTAGCAGCATGGTAAGGAACTGTATTAGCAGCATGGTAAGGAACTGTATTAGCAGCATGGTAAGGAACTGTATTAGCAGCATGGTAAGGAACTGTATTAGCAGCATGGTAAGGAACTGTATTAGCAGCATGGTAAGGAACTGTATTAGCAGCATGGTAAGGAACTGTATTAGCAGCATGGTAAGGAACTGTAACAGGAGCAAGGTAAGGAACCGTAACAGGAGCATGGTATGGAACTGTAACAGGAGCAAGGTAAGGAACTGTAACAGGAGCAAGGTAAGGAACTGTAACAGGAGCAAGGTAAGGAACTGTATTAGGAGCAGGGTAAGGAACTGTATTAGCAGCAAGGTAAGGAACTGTATTAGGAGCAAGGTAAGGAACTGTATTAGCAGCAAGGTAAGGAACTGTATTAGGAACAAGGTAAGGAACTGTATTAGCAGCATGGTAAGGAACTCTATTAGCAGCATGGTAAGGAACTGTATTAGGAACAAGGTAAGGAACTGTATTAGCAGCAGGGTAAGGAACTGTATTAGGAGCATGGTAAGGGACTGTATTAGCAGCATGGTAAGGAACTGTATTAGCAGCATGGTAAGGAACTGTATTAGCAGCATGGTAAGGAACTGTATTAGCAGCATGGTAAGGAACTGTATTAGGAACAAGGTAAGGAACTGTATTAGGAGCAGGGTAAGGAACTGTATTAGCAGCATGGTAAGGAACTGTATTAGCAGCATGGTAAGGAACTGTATTAGCAGCATGGTAAGGAACTCTATTAGCAGCAGGGTAAGGAACTGTATTAGGAACAAGGTAAGGAACTGTATTAGCAGCAAGGTAAGGAACTCTATTAGCAGCAGGGTAAGGAACTCTATTAGCAGCAGGGTAAGGAACTGTATTAGCAGCAGGGTAAGGAACTGTATTAGGAGCAAGGTAAGGAACTGTATTAGCAGCATGGTAAGGAACTCTATTAGCAGCAGGGTAAGGAACTGTATTAGCAGCAGGGTAAGGAACTGTATTAGCAGCAAGGTAAGGAACTGTATTAGCAGCAGGGTAAGGAACTGTATTAGCAGCATGGTAAGGAACTGTATTAGGAGCAAAGTAAGGAACTGTATTAGCAGCAGGGTAAGGAACTGTATTAGCAGCATGGTAAGGAACTGTATTAGCAGCATGGTAAGGAACTGTATTAGCAGCATGGTAAGGAACTGTATTACGAGCAAGGTAAGGAACTGTATTAGCAGCAGGGTAAGGAACTGTATTAGCAGCAGGGTAAGGAACTGTATTAGGAGCATGGTAAGGAACTGTATTAGCAGCAGGATAAGGAACTGTATTAGCAGCATGGTAAGGAACTGTATTAGGAGCAAGGTAAGGAACTGTATTAGCAGCAGGGTAAGGAACTGTATTAGCAGCATGGTAAGGAACTGTATTAGGAGCATGGTAAGGAACTGTATTAGCAGCAGGGTAAGGAACTGTATTAGCAGCATGGTAAGGAACTGTATTAGGAGCAAGGTGAGGAACTGTATTAGCAGCAGGGTAAGGAACTGTATTAGCAGCAGGGTAAGGAACTGTATTAGGAGCATGGTAAGGAACTGTATTAGCAGCATGGTAAGGAACTGTATTAGGAGCAAGGTAAGGAACTGTATTAGGAGCAGGGTAAGGAACTGTATTAGGAGCATGGTAAGGAACTGTATTAGGAGCAGGGTAAGGAACTGTATTAGGAGCAAGGTAAGGAACTGTATTAGGAGCAGGGTAAGGAACTGTATTAGGAGCAAGGTAAGGAACTGTAATTGACATGAAGGACGTAGATAATGATACTTATCAGGAGGAAGGTAAGGGAAGATAATTATTAGGGAAAAACGATTAAAATAGCAGCTGGGATATAAGGTTAAGATAGCTAGGATATGGGGTTAGGATAGCTGCTGGGATATGAGGTTAGGATAGCAGCTGGGATATGAGGTTAGGATAGCAGCTGGGATATGAGGTTAGGATAGCAGCTGGGATATGAGCACCTGTCAGTCAGGTGCTGTCACAGTGAGAGGTTGTGTTAGCTGGAGCTCTGATTGTAGTAATATTATTACAGCAACAATGGAAGAATTAGTGAAGAAACTGGTGAATTTACTTGGAGCTCTGAGGACAGAGCTGGATTCTCTACGGGAGGAGGTACGACAGCTGAAACAACATCAGGAAGAAACAAAGGAGGAGACCAGTGGTAAAAAGACCTCGTCTTGGCAAGTTGTAAAGGACAGGGGTCTCAAGAAGACCTTGGCAAAACCGACACCTAATAGCCTAAGGACTTCTAACGCATTTGATGTGTTAGAGGACGAGTGCTGTGGTGAACCTGTAGTTCAACGAGGAGGCAAAGGCAAAGCAACGAGGAACATTGAAGCGCAGGTCCCTCAAAGTGCCCTAAAGGAAAAGCGAATTTTGGTTGTGGGAGATTCCCAGGTGAGGTATTTAGACAGAACGTTTTGTGCCAGAGATAAAGGAAACAGGTTAAGGGTTTGCTATCCGGGAGCTGGTGTTGGTGATATTGTTGGAAACATGAAAGATATTATGACGGGAAATGGGAACAAACCCATTATTTGTATTAGTGCAGGGGGTAATGATGTTGGACGAGTTAGGAGTGAGGAACTAATACAGAGATTCATGACATGAAATTGATAGAATTAGTTAGGAGCAAGGGAGGAATCCCGATCATATGTGGCATTCTTTCAAGAAAGGGAGTGGGAAATGAATGGATGTCGAGGGCACTTGGTGTCAATTGCAGGCTGGAAAGATATTGCAAATCTAATGCAATATCTTTCATAGACAACTGGGAACGCTTCTATGGAAGAAATGAAATGTATGCTCATGATGGGGTGCATCTATCGAGGGCTGGGGTTGTTGCTGTTGCAAACTCGTTGGAACCAGTGGTTAGAGGTGTTTGTTTGGGTTTAAACTGTTAGTAGATAGTGGTATGGGAATTGATTTGGAGGAAGGAGGTAATAAAAGTATGTGTTTGGGGGAGAAAGGAATTGGCAAAATGATCATTGAAAGAGAAGGGCCTCAAAATAACAATTCACTTAGGGTATATTACACTAACAGTAGAAGTCTAAGAAACAAAATAAACGAATTAAATGCTCTTGTCTGCACAGAAAAATTAGATATTATCGCGCTTACCGAAACGTGGATGAATGTAGAAAATAGAGAACTATTAGCTGAATATCAGATAAATGGATTTAAACTATTTCACACAGATAGATATATTAGACGAGGAGGGGGAGTAGCCATATATGTTAGGGACAATTTGAGATGTAGTCTCAAAGAGGGAATCAAGTCTGAGCCACACACAGAAACTATTTGGATAGAATTAAACGAAAAAGCTAATAATATTATAATAGGAGTTATATATAGGCCACCAAATTTAGACAGAATGGAAGCAAAGCATCTATGGGATGAAATATCTAGAGCATCTAGATCTAACAGTATTTATGTCATCGGTGGCTTTAATTTTAGTGGAATAAACTGGTTGAACAAAACAGGGAATAATGAAGCAGAAGATTTTCTAGAATTAATTGACGATTGGTTTCTTATGCAACACATTAAGGAACCAACACAGGAAAATAATATTTTAGATTTAGTGTTAACTAACAGGGAAACACAAATTAATGACCTCGAAATAGGAAATGAGCTAGGGAACAGTGATCATAAAGAAATAAGATTTAGCATAGAATGGAATAGATCTGTAGGAGAAAATTCTGTTAAAGTACCTGATTTTCGAAAAGCTAATTTCAATAACCTAAGAAATTTATTGGGTCAAATAGTGTTACGGCCCTATTGGGTCGCAACCGGGTTCTTCTCTGATCTTATTAGAGTTTGGGTATCTGGCCCCAAGTTAGTAGTGGCTTTCAAGGGGCGTTCCGTAACGCAAGTTAAATTAAAGGGAAAGGGATACAAATGCTCAGATATCTATATATATAATCACCACCACCATAAATAAATATATAAACTGTCACACGGGGGGTATAAATACACAATGTACAGAATCGTCTTCCTCTGAAGACGACGGGATGCTCCACGGTGCACACGATGAGTAGCCCTGGTTCTCTTCGTCGTGGCCCACGATGAATCCTCTGATTCTTTCAGCGAATCTACCCCGGCCACAGGCCACCCAAATCACAGTCCCACTGGGTGCAGCGCCGTGGAGGCCTTCAACCACAAATCCAGCCTGTAGCTGGCAGGTTCCGATCAGCTCCGCTGTGTAGGCCACTCCACGATCGATACTAGGGTTGCGAGCCCTAGGCAGGAGCCTCGTGTGATTCCGCCGATCACTCTCCTCTCTCTGCACCACAGTGGCCAGTCTCTCCCACCAGCCAGCCCCCAAATAAGACGATTCCTGGTACTGCCACGTCACAGGCAGGCTAACACACTCAACAGTGTTCGTCCGGGGGTGACTCACAGCTTCTGCAGCAAACATGTAGAGAGACTATGGCTGCCTTGGGTAGACTGCCTATCGTCCAATCCAGCAGTCCCAGGTCGACTCTGTAATCAGACACGTCATCAGTACTAGGGACACCCTAGGGCACCTCACTTACAGGCTTAGACACAAACGCCCACCTATCCACTCCATAGATGGCGTTGCTGTCTAAGCGCCACCTCACCAGAGGTCAGCAGCGGCTATGTCACGAGCTGATTAAGACGAGAAACCAGCCCCTGTGGCCGGTATATCTCGTTCTCACTAGATGGCGTCGTCCATTTGGAGGGGGGTTTCGGGAGCTGACTCACAGATGGCGTGGACGTCACTGCTCCGTGCTACGACGCTGGGCTCGAGTTCGTAACAAATAGATTGCAAAGTCTTGGGTATGGGGTGTGGGCCGGTCTTAGAGCTAGACGTGAACCCAGCGATAGGTGACGTAAAAGGGGTTTTCGATGTGGACTCAAAATATAACCTATTTAAAAATATTCTAAGCGAAGCCCAGGAATGTAGTATACCATATAAATTGAATAGATCAAATACTAATGATCCAAAGTGGATAACAAAGGATTTGAAGAACCTTAGTGGTAAAAAGAGAGCTTGGTACAAGAGGATTAAGAATGGGGAAATCAGTTTAGAACAGGAATTCTTACAACTGGTTAGAAATACTAAAAAAGAGATAAGGAAAGCAAAAAGAAACTATGAAGTTCGCATAGCAGAGCAAGCAAAGACAAACCCTAAAGGGGTTTTCCAGTTATACCGGACAAAGATTAGGGAGAGGATAGGTCCATTATAAACTGAGACAGGTCAAATAACAGATAATGATGAAAAGATGAGTAGTATTTTTAATAAATATTTTATATCTGTATTTACTAAAGAGGAACTTAACAATATGCCTTCAGCCGAACAAGTCTATGTGGGTGGCGACGAGGACAGGTTGACGAGTTTAGCAGTTATCAGGGAGGATGTTCTTAAACAATTAGTAAAACTAAAACCAAACAAATCCCCAGGGCCGGATGAAGTGTTTGCCAGGGTGCTTAAAGAATGCAAAGAGGAGCTTTGCGACCCACTGTCTACCATATATAATAAATCAATAGAGTTAGGCAGAGTGCCAGAGTTATGGAAAGTTGCTAATGTGATACCAATTTTTAAGAAAGGAGATAGATCACTTGCGTCAAACTATCGACCAATTAGCCTAACGTCTGTTGTGGGAAAGCTATTTGAATCGATAATTGCAAATAAAATTCGTCTTCATCTTGAAAAACACAAATTAATAAATGAGTCGCAACATGGTTTTACAAACGGCCGTTCATGTTTAACAAATTTGTTATCTTTTTATTCCAGCATAGTTGAGGTAGTTGATAGTGGTAAGGATTGTGATGTCGTGTACCTTGACTTTAGCAAAGCTTTTGATACGGTGCCACATGAAAGACTGATTACAAAAATAGACGCTCATGGTATTGGAGGTGCTATATTAAGTTGGATTAGGGCATGGCTATTCCAAAGGAAACAGAGAGTTAGTATAAATGGAGTCAAGTCAGAGTGGGAAAATGTTGTAAGTGGAGTGCCTCAAGGCTCTGTCCTGGGACCTCTGTTGTTTATAATATATATCAATGATTTAGATTCAGAATTGAGTAGCAACATTTGCAAATTTGCCGATGATACAAAAAACTGTAGGGAAATTTACACGGAAGAAAACTCACTATCACTTCAAGTTGATCTAAATAGGGTTTTGAACATAAGAACAAAGGTAACTGCAGAAGGCCTATTGGCCCATACGAGGCAGCTCCTATTCTATAACCACCCAATCCCACTCATATACTTGTCCAACCCGTGCTTGAAACAATCGAGGGACCCCACCTCCACAATGTTACGCGGCAATTGGTTCCACAAATCAACAACCCTGTTACTGAACCAGCATTTACCCAAGTCTTTCCTAAATCTAAACTTATCCAATTTATATCCATTGTTTCGTGTTCTGTCCTGTGTTGATACTTTTAATACCCTATTAATATCCCCCCGGTTATGTCCATTCATCCACTTGTAAACCTCTATCATGTCACCCCTAACTCTTCGCCTTTCCAGTGAATGCAACTTAAGCTTTGTTAATCTTTCTTCATATGAAAGATTTCTAATTTGGGGAATTAACTTAGTCATCCTACGCTGGACACGTTCAAGTGAATTTATATCCATTCTATAATATGGCGACCAAAACTGAACTGCATAATCTAAATGGGGCCTAACTAGAGCAAGATATAGCTTGAGAACCACACCAGGTGTCTTGTTACTAACGCTGCGATTAATAAATCCAAGTGTCCGATTTGCCTTATTACGAACATTT